AAATTTTATCTGATTCGCCGGATGATGATCTACAACACGTGATCCGGACATTTTTCTTCGCCATGGCTAGGGTGCTCGAAAGGTCGGCGATGACGTAGTCGCGAATTTTTTTTGCCACCACTATTCTACCTGATGTTAATATCACCACTAGTGTGATTTAGTAAAACCGTTTATAATTATTACTTTGACAATTAGAAAAAAAAACATTCCGGAGCAATATAAAGTGCTAACATTATTAATAATACTGATACTTTATTTATTTATTTTTTGATAATACTGCTGATATAAAATTTGTAATATATCTATTATATAAAAAAACGAATAAAGAAATTTCAAAAATTGCGTAATAAATAGATATTATCAAACTATTAAATAGATGTCTTTATTAAGCTATAGTTTAAAAAAAATGATCCAAAATTTGATGTGTATAATAAATAAAAAGAAAAAAAAAATGAAATTTTCAAAAATAAAAAAAAATTCTAAACTGAGAACTTAATATGATACATGTTGAATTTTGGATAAATAATTATTAATAATCTCTTTCATCATCATCAGCGGTAACGTCGCCATACTCGAACATTCCCACCTAAATCATTTAAGCATATCAAAAAGATGTTCACATCAGAAATAACATGAAAAAGAACACTTACCCTATCCTTCTTTGCTTGTTCCTGTACCTCAAGCAATTTCTTAACCAAATTCGAATATTTTTTGATATATGGCAATTTATTATTTACCAATCCTAATCCATCACGAACCATTTCAGCATTGATTGACGCATCGGACGATTCGGATTGTGCTGGATCATATAAAGTAAGATGGAGTACATTATTATCTCGATGATCGATGTTTGCAACAAGCTGTTTTGAATCAACAAAGTCTCGTAGTCTTTCGTAGGCTTCGCCGCCATAGTCAGCCTGGCAGATAGGGTAAGTTAATCAACGACACACAATGAAACTATAGAATGTAGTTTATTTAATGTGTATATATATTACCTCGCGGTCTGGTACTTTCAAAAAAGAAAGCATTGCCTCGTACGCATGTGGAGGTAATTGCTTAAAATTATCGGGAATCGACCGAATTCGGGATACTGGAATCGTTTCTGACTGAAGAAGTCATAGCATATATATATTTAAAAACAAAACCAAAAAAAATATATGGGTGAGTCAATAGAAATCAAGCAAATTGTTTTTATTGCATTTTTTTTAAAACTTCAAATGCTAATAACTTAACAAAGATTGATCAAATTTAATAAAATTTTTTTAAAAAATTCTATAAGTTTGTGGAATTTATTTTAAAAAAAAATTTATTAAATTTGATTAAGTTGTTGTTAAGTTATTGTTATTCAAAAGTTTAAAAAAATTTACTTAGAAAAAATTGCTTGATTTCTATTAACTCAACCCCATCAGTGTTGGGCTGACCAGACCAGTTTGACCATTTGACCAGACCAATTTGACCATTTGACCAGTCTGGTCAAAGAATTTTTACTGGTCAAATCGGTCAAATAGCATTTTGAATATAATTTATTATATAATAAATATATTATATTTATATAAATAACTTGACCAATTTGACCAGTTTGACCAATTGACCAATTTGACCAGACCAATTTGACCAGCAATTTTTTGCTTGACCACTGATTTGCCTAACACTGAACCCCATATATATATAACGAAAACATCCTGAACATACATTTCCATAATCAATATATACAACTTCTACGCTTTCTTTCTCAGGAATATTCTTTCTTATTCTGGCACGATACCTATAATAAACCAATTTATTATTTACAATTATTTTAAACAAGAAATCACAAAAAATAATATATCTACCATTGGTCATCCTCAGTAAATTGAGCACTAACTATTTGCCCTGTTTTTATCTTATCAAAATTAGATATTGCGGTAGTGCTCTTATGATGAAATCCAAAGTCAGACATCATCTTTTCCAAATTACGAATGTTGCTATCATTGACAACTTGAACATAAAAATGCCCTCCTGAAACGATTTCTGAAACTACAACATCCACATATTCTTTACGAGGTTCAGCTTCATCAGCAGTTGCTGTGTCATTTGTTTCACTTATAAGACCTGAATCTTGAAATGACCAAATCTATGAAAAATATATCATATGTAAGTGATTAGCGAAAGGAACTAGTTTAAACTATATAAATTACCGACATTTTTCTTTTCGTCCTTAGCAATTTGCTCAGCAGCATATAGTTCCCTAGAATAAGGGCTTTGATCAGCACTGAACGAATGAACAGTTGCAAGACCCTCTTGAAGTAGCAATGTTGCAAAATTTTCAGTCTTATTTAACCACAATGAACCTATAAATCCGCCCACTTTATCAACATTTTCCACTTCTATCTCGACATCGCGTTGTAACACTTTACGTGTCGCAAACTCAAGTGCTTCGGTAGCAAATGGCTCGGATTTATCTGTAGGAGTACGACCAGGTCGAGGACAGCGTATGCCACTAAGTACAAACGTTAGCTTATAACTTTCTTTAGGGATATAAATCTTAAATCTTGATCCGTTATTTACGAAGTCAATAACACCGGGAACGCGACCATATCGTTGCAAAGAATGTAAAAATTGACGAGCTTTTGATGAAGACTATTCGAAAATATGAAACTTATTCAAACGGATATATTTTCAGCAAGCAAACATATAAGGAATCATAAAGAAATTTACACATGCCTCTGAAACATCACTGATTCTGTAAACTGGCGGCTCTTTCGTGCTATAGATACCTTTACCATTTGTTTGTGCCCTAGATATATTTTTGATTTATTTATTTATAACTGCATTTATATCATTACAGTCATGTGACAGTACACAAGCAATACTTGCATACTTTTGATCGGCTATTAAAAGTTGGTCATAACAGCTAGAGCGATCTTCGTCATCCCTTTTGTGTCGAATGATATGTGCCAATCCTCGTTCGATAAGAGCCTCCGCTGGATTGCTATATAAAACCAAGATTTATTCTATTTTTAAGCAATAATGATACTTACGACTAGAAATAAGAACTTACAACTCCCCAAGTTTAATCGTAGCACATTCCTTTGCTTCATATCCTTCAGAAGCAGGCTTTTGATAGTCAATAATTACTCTGACCTAACGATACAAATAAATAAGTAAATACAGCAATTTAAAAAAATAGTATTACATTATAAGTTTAAAAGATAACTTACAGGTTTACCAATTAATTTTTTTCGTAAGAATTCTTTAGCTTCAAAATTATATTCTGGACATTTAGGATCCTTAGGTCTATTTCAATGTGAGAAAGTATATAAATAATATTTTAAATTTAAGAAGTGCATTAACAAATATACATATATATATATACTTTGGCTGTCGAATGCTAGATAATTGTAATTTTTTTTCAACTCCAGTGCGATTTACTCTTACATTAAGAGTGTCACCAGAGACTATACGTGTGACCTTTATTTGAGAAATGCGCGCGTAAATGTGAGCTATTGTAATTTAATAAAAAGCATGCCAATAAAGAATATAGGAGGTACACGCACAATGCCTTCAAAATCATGATCATCGCCTCCAGCTTTACTTCTAACAACGTGGTCTTGCCAAAGGCGTAGTCTCTTTTCCTTGGCTTTCCTAAGATTTATTTAAGAATAAGTGCTGTCATTTGAAAATATAGATGTATAAAGAACATTGATTGCCTACTTTTCAGCCTCGCGCAATTTAATTGGACCATCTGTAACTACGGTAATACTCCAATCTGCAACTTTGGCCAAACCTACAGCAACAAGAGATTCTGCAATATTTCCTGCAGGATGCAAAATGGTAGCATAGAAGGTTTGGTTGTTTCCAGACAGCCCCTCTAATATCACCTTTACATTCCTTTGTAACAATCTTGATTCAACAAAATATTTCGCCTCTTCGCCATAAGGTTCCACAAGGTCTTCTACATCTGGGATGTCCTTCCGTACGGTAGGGGCTTTTATGCCGGATATGTTTATATTTAGATATTGTTGGGGCGCAGGTGCTGGAGGAATGAACAAGACGCGAAGACTAGATCCATCTCGTACTTGTTCAATGATGCCTTCATAAAATTTAAACAGTTTTCACTCATGATACGACTAATGTGCGATAAAAAAAAAAAGATAAAAAAAAGATTTTATAAATTATTTTACCATCAATTTTTAAACCTTTATATTTGTTCAAATACGTTCGAGCATCCTCTTGTAAGGTATAATTGACATTGCGAGAATACTATGTTAACAAATCAAATAAACGTGCAAGTTATTTATAATGACAAAGACGTGATAAATAGATGACTAAATAACGCAATCATTTCACTACCTTGTCTTTATCTCCCCATATTCCTTTACCTGCACCTTGCGCAGTATTCTCCAACGCACTAAGATTATTTACTTCTTCACCCCTACTATCATCTTTATTCTTACGTCCATCTTCTCTAACTTTTGCCCATCCCTCTCTTACAATCAATTGGGTGATGTTTTCACTCCCTAAAAATACTGATCCATATTCTCTATTGGTAGTAGGAATAGTGTAGTCTATGCGAAATGTAATTTCTTTACCCACGATCTGACAACGAAGAAATTCCCGAGATTCGAATGCAAAAGGCTAAATAAAACAATGATGCATTTTATATATAATTTTACTTTAGGATACAAATGATATTTCATCTTTAGTATCAATTCGGTTGGATCAACCTGAACTTAAACAGCTTCTTACTTCATCATCTTTTTTCTGGTTTCCCATCCTCGGGGCCTGAATATAAGCCAGACTAATTTGCTTTTCTCGTGGAGGTTGGTTTCCGGTAGGTTTGCCACGAATGATTAGCGTATCTCCGGAAAGTACGCATTTAACAATAGCTTTCGATACGGCTGTCATTTAATATAAAATTGATAATATTCTAAAGGATTGATGAAAAAATTGAAATTGAGATAAAGGACTTTTTTTTTTTTTTTTTTGTGCTCTAAATGAGTTTATCTATTTATGGAATTTTTGGATGCATGAAGAGATTCGTGTTGAAACTGCATTGGTAGAAGCACATTAAAATTTACCGACGGATCTTCCTTAATTTGGAATTGTCTTGATGAAAAAATATATGTGGGATCTTTGCACCCTTTGACATTTTCCGATCAGGTTAATTCGGACAAACTTAGACAACATACCGGTTCTTACTTTCGGTAAATCATCTTTTGCCTTTACTGATTCAATAGTTTATCGTAACAGGAGAAATCGTCGATGTTACACGACTGATCTTTCACCCGGTATGCAACATATAAAAAAATTATTTTACAATACCAGATCATTTCGCTAAAACATGCTATGATTATAATCCCACATCATTTTATGATAATAAAAATGGTGTGGGATTATAATCATAGCGGAACGATGTAAAGTAATTGTTTTATATGTTGCACGCCAGGTGAAGGATCAGTCGTGTAACATCGACGGTTTAACTATTGAGTCGATGATGATTTGCCGCAAGAACGGGTATCCTTATGCCCAGAGAATCCCGAGCTGCCGGCCAAAAAAATATGGGTCGTAGTATCTCAAAAATTCCATATATATCTAACATTAAAAATTGCGTTTTATAAGTAAAATTTCATTCTGAAAACTTTTACTTAGAGGTCGGAAATTAATTATCATAGTAAATTTTAGTGTTATTTGCAATTTCTTATGTTTTTCGCGTTTGTTTTGTTACACGAGATCCTGTGATTTTATTGATCTTCAGCCCGGGATTTTCTGGACATAAGGATACCCCGCAAGAACCTAGCAAGAACCGGTACGTTGGTCTTAAAGTTTGTCCGAATTAGCCCGATCGGAAAATGTCGAATGGTGATTTTCACAGCAAAGATCCCATATCGATATGGGTAATATTTTTGAACTCGGACCAATTTTATATATGACGTAATAACATTTGGTCTGGATTAGAGGTGCAGACGAATCGTCCCGTAACTAGCTAAAGCTTATGTCGTAACTAGTTACGGCAATCATTGCCTGCATCTCTGGTCTGGATTCAAAAATATAATAATATTAAATATTGCTATCATTTGGTATCATTATGCATGATACTAATCCCAGTAAACATTTCATATTTAACTGTAAGTAGAGTAATACATTTTGATATATATATGTTGTGCCTCGCGCGCGTCAGGTGACAGCTGACGCACCTCAGATCTCGATCGTTACATGACGTGCCTCAGGATAAATAACGCACGTCAGCTGTCATTTGACGCAAATCTTATACGTACCATTAAAATTTTAATTTTCGATTAATTTAATCCCGTTAATAATATTTAAGTAGTTTATTACGGCTCAAATAAATGAATATGGTTTTGATTATTGTGATCGGTAGGGTTGTTAATGGGTTGGGTTGGGTTAAACAATTTCTCAACCCATTCCAGCTGAGTTGGGCTTACTCTAGACTCCAATTTGATTCTCTATTTAAGCAAATCAGCTAATTTGTTCCAAACTTTAAAAATCTGATTATTAAACAGTTACAATGTCTTGCTGTTATATAATTTTTAATATCGATTTCTTTGATCAAGCATTCTGAAATTAAATAAGCACTAATTCACCTGATTTAGTATTATATTTGGTTTGTTTTAAGCACAGATGTCTAGAAACTAGTTTTTATCTTGAAATTCAAATTGAAATTATAGGCCATATCATCACTTCTAATACATCATATTTCATAAAATAAATTAAAAAACTTATTAATAATATTAAATCTAATGACTGTTATTTTAAACTATACTTTTAGGATTGTAT